TACACAGCTCTGCAGGCACAGTCTTATTTATATTCAGTGTATAGATTTACCCTGACTCATCATGGTACAGGAAGAAGTATTAAGAGTGCTGCTGCATATCACGGGAAGAAGAAAATCTGCTTATAGTTTTGTCAGTAATATCAGCAAACAAAGAGAAAATCAATCATTTACATATGACAGTTGGTTGTGAAACAGACACCCTTGTGTTTGCATAATGACTTCACACATTGCTTACATTTTTTATTAATCCCTTTTTTTTTTTTTATTAAAAATGCACCCACGCAAAACGCCAATCAGATGTCTGCATGGCTTTATATGTATACAATATATTTCTTTAATAACTGTAGAAAACAAATGTGAGATCACCAGTTTTCATCAAAGCCACCTCAGAACATTTTGATTGTTGGATTGAGTTTGCATACTGTGCTGTCTGTCTGCTGCCATGTTCTCAGCGAGATGAAACAATGTGGCCATACTGTAGAGGGATGTTTCATCATATCAGAATAACAACTGTTATTCCCGATGCCACAAGCCACTGTATAGAAAATTCACAGCTGTCTGTGTTTAAGGGTCTATTAATTCCAACCATGACTGCTGAAAGATGAAACAGCTGGCCATAAACTATCTTGACAAACTTGTGTGCTATGTGGAAAAAAGAAAAGAAAGGACAGAACTCAGACAGTCTTTGTGTCAGTGATTTTTATTTCAACTATCATCGCTTGCATTTCCCCAACTCTGCCAGAGCCATCACTTCTTAAGAGGAAGGACAGATAGCATATTTAATTTCCTAACAGTTCACTTAGGACTGTTTCTTAGGATTCCTCAAGGACCGTACAGGTAGCCTTTTTTCAGGGGTTTAGTGCTTACTCTCTACTTCCACTGACATGAAAAATTAAAGGAATGGATCCTGCATGAAACAGTTGAGACTTGGAAACCTTTTGTCTAGATCTCCTTGCTTGTCCAAGAGCAGTAAATCATAATGTTAAACTACTGGAGTCTGCTTTTAATAACTCCAAACCTAAACTCAGGCCTCATCATCTTAAGTGGAGTTTATGTAACACACAAGCTATTAGCGATATTTTTGAAGATAAGCCTTGAAGATGCTTCCCCTTCCTGCCTGTGAAGCCAGCACCTCTGGGGGGCAGTAGAGACATCAACACTTCCTTTCATCTCATCTTGGCTGCAGGAAAGGGGCAAGGTCGGAGGGGATTTGAGCTTGGCTCACCACCACATGTTTCTTTGCTTGCCCAGTCTTGCTTTAGGCACAGATTATTACCATATACCAGCTACCGTTACAGTATACCTGGCTTGTGTGCCACCAGAGATCCTGATGGGTGTGTCAAGAGTCTCTCCTTCCCTATGTTTCCCTCCATATGTATGCAACCAAAGCCCCTTTTCTTTACTTCACTGATAGAAATGTATACATGCACCACTGATAAAAGTATACACTAGCATAAAGATATTAAAAGAGCTTCTTAAAGGATTTCCAACCTAAATATACATAACCAATGGAGAGCTGGAAGCCATTTATAGAGCTTTAGCTAGAAATCCTTTACCTGTGTGGATTGAAAGCCCTTCAGTATACTTCCTATTTGTGTGCTACTTCAGCAATACAAAATAAACAATGTACCTTTCTTTGATGATATCATAGACTATGGTTGATGTAATGTTGGGAAACATTTTGGGAACCATTTTTTGTTTTTGTTTGTTTATTATTATCATTTCCAGCCAGGCATTCATCTGGACACCCATTTAAGAACACTGTGTGTGATGAAAGATTAAAAAAGCTTTGGGTACGCTTGCAGTCTCCCTTGATGGCACATCCTTTACATGGCCTACATTTGTTTCAATTGAATAGTTGTATTATAAACACAATGACGGCTTTCTGGGTTTGCAGTAGTTTGTAAACTGGTAGCATGTGGCTTGATTGTCCTGATGATTTGGCAGAGAAAAGAAGCGTCAGGCAGAGCATGACTGAAAGAGAACTCTTCCTGTGAGTGAAAAAACTATTGAAAGTCATTATGTTTCTGGGGAGTGGGGACTGTGAATAGAAGATATGTGATGTGGAAATTAATAACTTTTTGACTCTCGCCACTTAAAATGTCAACAAGCCTGCCGTTTAAGGAACACAATAAAATTGACAAATATGAAGGTCTTTGAATTAAAAAGAAATTAAGAATACTCAAACTGTCAAAGATTTACAAAATTAGTTTTACCTCCTGGACAGCTGATATTGTCACCTTTAATTTCCTCTGATAAAACTAAGACACCTGAACTGACAAATATTCGTCACACGTTTCTCCCCTAATAGACAAACAACAAAACAAAACAAAATTGCATCAAACTGTTGTTGTTTTATGTATGTCTCTAAGTCTCTAGAGGCCTCAGGAGTTCCAGTATGGCGAGGTCGAAGTCATCCAGCAGTGGCCTCCGTCTGGCATTTTACCCAGAGCACATCCTGTGGGAGCGGGAGCTTTGGAGCCGGCTGCGCGACCACATCAAACAATAGCTTTTTGTTGTAAACAAAGCCAGGGCAGCTTGCCGGGGGCCCTCTCTTTCTCTCTCTCTTTCCTCCCGCTCACAGCCCGGATCCAGTCTGCCTACCATAATTCTGGACTGTCAGACAAATGTGTGCCAATGCACCACAAGTCTCTCTATTCCATTTGCATTTGTACACAGAAACCATGAACCTGGCAGTGCAACAGACAAATTCAAATTTGTTGAAAATAGTAAAGGAAGATGAAATGCAAAACTAAAGGTCTGCCTCAAGAGGATTGTTAAAACACAATCACCTGAACAGTTGCTTGACTGCATGTCATGAAACATAATGTCCATATGTTTGTTTATTAGTCAGTGTAACAACTGCTACAGCTTCTTTGTCCAGGGGATAGAGTACCAGTTGTGCATAAAACATTTGATGTGCATTTCTTTTCCTGAAATATACACTTGCAATTATGTTTATTGGCAAGTTGTGTCTCTACAACGCTCCAAAAACAGCGACCAGTACCTACAGAGGCAGTAAAGTTTAGAAAAAAGTTTTGGACTGGCTGGGATACCGCCTAACATATAAAGGCTGTAATGTAAGGTTGTCTTCTTAGACTGATTATTTTAATGATTTTAATTATTGCCATTAAACCTACATAATACCTGCATTCTGCTTTTGGATAATCCTCACAGAGGAAATCGCAGTATCTACATACAGAATGTGTTCTTTCAGAAAATAAACTTTATTTTGATTATACAGTCCACAGCTAATATAAATCAAATCTATCTCTGCCTGATCTCTGCTTGCTGGGTGAAATTTATCCAACTACAATTGTAATAAATTTAATATTATAAACTAATTTACAATTTAATACATTTAATCTGTGATTTAATGGTAGCTTAACCACACCAAATTGCATGAATTCCACTAAGGTCACTGCGAGTCACTGCCACTCTGCTTGTGCTCGTTATGTTAGCTTTAGCAAGAGTTTAGCCGGGTATATTTTCTCCACAATGATTGCATTTAGCCTCTGCCTCATTTGTGGAACCAGTAACTGAATAACCAAGATGTCAGCTCATTAAAATTTAAATTTTTTTATTACAGATAACAGCCACAGAAAAATGAATGAGCTTCAGCTTTAGCTAAGGCTAGCCATGGCTCTCTCACCAGCTTGCTTTTGCTTGATATAGCGCTCTTGCTTCAGCTGTAGTTTCTTCTGTTTGGTTTGGCTTTTTGCTCTGTGACTGCAAATATAAAATGCTGTTTTCACATGTATCTTTCAGTGGTATAATGTGTTTTTATATTGTAAAATTGATTAAAATATCAGATTCAGTTTTGACCAAATATGTTGACTCTGTGTCTTTGCAGAGCAGAATAGATTTCCAGCATGTTAGCTCAGTTGGCATGCTGACCACTATAACTAACAATTCACACTCACCATGAAATTACACTTAATAGGTACCCAAAGGTGCTGCACCACAATGTGACATGACGTCGAAAAACCTGTTACAGAGTATCAGGAATGATTCAAAACACTAGCTAATGCTGCAACATGCTGCAACCCCTGCTGTTAGTGCCATTACCTCTTATACCATACATCTGGCCTGTACTTGATCAAAGGTGACAATGCAGAATGTTTTCACAGTAGGGCTTGTGCTTCTCCCAGTAATTTGCACCATGCCATCGTCAGGAGTGTTGACTGCACTCGGTACACCAGTGATCACATTTTAGCTATGATAATGAAAGATTTTAAACACTAAGCTAATTGAAATGCTGGTGGAAGGTAGCAGCTGGGATGTGTGCTTAACTATTATCACTACTAATAGTTTAGATCAGAAAGGGAAACAGGAAAGGGAGGCCAATCCCTCAGAGGGTATTCTATTATGGCACCTATGTATATTTTAACCAAACTGATATTCTGTCAGCAACTCATGCAGTTAAATTTGGAGAGCTGGTTAATTGCAAGGTTTGCCGATAATTGTTTCATTAATTCTAGCTGGCTCCTATTGTTCCTGGCCAGGCACATGGGTCCAAGCCTACGCAGAGCTTGGCAGTAGTTTTTAAACGAAGGGGAAATGGAACAACCTGCTTCACTGCCCCCGCTGATCCCTCGGGTTTGGGCTGTTTTTTCTTTTTTCTCTCATACCTAGTGTGTCAAGGGCATTCCCTGTCTCCAGGCTTCTGAAAACCTGCAGAGGACAATCACTCTAAAAGCTGGTGGAGACGCACAGCAGGGGACCAAAAATTACGTACTCTCTCCATATTCCCTTCGACAGAATGGCTGGGACGTTTGTTCTTAATAAATACCACAGCTTTTACTGTCCTGTAAAATATTCTCTTCAAAGAAAATGTACACTGTGAGGTTCAGACATCATTTGTTTTCTTTTTGACAAAAGGAGGATTAGCATCCTGTTAACATTTATATTCTCATTCTGTTTCATATGAAGTGGAAATGATAATAGATTGAATTCTAACCAAGTATATGCATGCTAATCACACCGCTTTGCTATTTCAGATCCACATGCTGACTGCTGAAGGGGAAAGAGGCGCCTATTGACTCTATTTGAATCCATTGGTGAGCACATGTTCCAATCTTAACACTGAGAACTGGGGTTATAAAGTGTGGCGATGGGAAGTACACCAGAGGGCAGAGGCCAGTGGATTTATTGCTATTTGGAGCACTGCTGTGTGTCTTTGAGGTTTGAAAAGTTTGAATTAGATTTGCTTCAGCACATCTCCAGCTGGGAACTATGTAAATTGACAGTAAGGAACCATATCTGTGCACAAAAAGGCTCTACCATCAGCCCAACAGCCACGGGCACTAGCATTTTATGTCTTCTACACTGAGTGACTAGTCTATAAATTGTCATGTACCACTGATTGAATACGTTCCTTTTCTTATCTGGTGGCCATCAACAGCAAGAACGCAACCACATGAGCGTATCCTGCAGATAAAATCTTTTTCTGGTCTTGTTCTTTGGAGCTAAACTTTTTTCATGTGAGGGAATTAACCCAGCATGAAAATATTTTTCAGTATGTTTTTGTTCTGTAAGAAAAACAGGATGCCTTTTTTCAATTCATGTGCCGTTACTCAAAAAAAAAAAAAAAGAAAGAATCCAATCCTTTCACTGTGAGGCATAGAAGAATACATTTCCGCTTTGAATCGCAGTGTAAATTCAGTGTGCTACGGGCTGGTGTGTCCTGTAGACCTTGGGCAGGGATTTGCAGTGAGAGACAACAATCCTCCGTCATGGCTGGTGGCCGTTTTTCGTTGAACTGTAAAAACATATGAAGAGCTGAGGCGCCTCTGTGTAGCAGAGAGGGAAAAAAAAGACTATCATTTATTATTCAAATGAAATGAGGTCCGGCAGATGGTGGAAGAGGGGCTGTGGGCTTACGGCAGAAAACCTCCTGCTCTCTACCTCTGTGATTTAAGTCAGCCCGTGTCGAAATAAAAAGTTCAAAGGGAATCAGCGATTGTGACGGATCTCATTAGCATATTTCCAATGAGCAACATAAGAAGTTGGGATGGGGGAGTTGGGGGTGTATCCCAGTCAGGAGCTAATCAATGCTGTGTATTATGATACTGCAAGCTTCACTTACATATACAATAGGCTACATCATTTACTATATACTGGGTATACTAGATTATAACTTCATTCTGTGTTGGATAGACCTTAGTTTCAAACAAATACAGGGGGTGTTGCATAAATATAAATATTCTGGTCCACAGTTCAAACTCTTGGAGACAACCAAAACACAGTTTTTTTATTTTTATGTTTTGTTTGATCTATTCACATTCAGTGTACAATAAGTTATAAAGACTTCTGTTCTGTTACTGTGAATAGTTCAGACATTTTGGAATTTCTGGAAATTCTCCAAAATGTTGAATTATTCCTTTAACAAGTACATTTTAAAAAACATAGACGGGTCAAAAATGAGCTCTTCTATTCTCCTTAAATGTTTATTCAGTTTTCATTTTAGTTCTTTTCACAACATACGCAGACACAGGAATAATATAAATATATACCTGGAAAAAAAGATGTTTTTACACAACATATACTGTACAATAGATGCTGCAAAAATGATTACAAATTTCCAGAAGTCAACAAGGGCTCTATTCATTCTGCGGACACTGTAGCTTTATGGAGTGCAGTGGCAGATTGCGTGCCATGTGCCTGAGCACCGTAAAACACTGTCATGTGTAGGGTGAACAAACTAAGGCTGGGCTTGTAAAAAAAAGCAAAAACTCTTAAGCTTCCCTTCAGACACATAAGACTTCAGCACCTGTCAAGGGGTTACTTAAGTGTCAGCCTATAACTACATGCACCCAGCAACATGCAGTCAGTCTATTGTACATGGGGCTTCGTGTTTTTGTACTTTATTCTATGGGAGGCCATTCACCCTTCCTTTCAGAACACAGTACCACTCCATCTCTGATTTGAAATATCGGGTCGGGAGATGCTCTTGCCCCCTGGGCACGACTGTATTTCAAAAACTGAAATTTGAGTGAGTTTTTCTGAAGGTCCCTGTGGTGCTGTTCTTTTGGACCACAACAAACCACGAATCTGGCAGCAGCTTTTTCTCAGTGAAAATACAGAGGAACATCTACCCATTAAAGCACAAGAGGAATTTGGTTAGAGCTGGAATGCAATAAAATGTATAAAAAAAGCCAAATTTGACTTTACACAAAGGATCTAAGAATGACGCCGAACCAAACGAGGGATATAAAGGAACAAATAGATCACAATCTTTTTATTTATGGGGTATAAAAAAAGGGGCGGTCACATCCTGCAATGGGGTTTTGGTTATCACATAACATAGGAATGTTCTGTCTGCAGAGAAGAAAGAAAACTGTGGCACATAAAATCATACAATTTGTTAATCCTGATTTGGAACTGGTCGTGGAAACAGTAATATGTTGGCAGTTTTACTACTTGTTATTTGCATATTAATTAATAGGGTATAATTAGAACATAATACTCTCCTTTTTGAAAATGTGTTACATTACAAACTGAGAGAATCATAATGGAAGTCTTTAAACAGAAACATTTGGCTTGGCATCACTTTGTTCCTTTGTTCAGCACAGATGAAATATGGCTTAAACACAGTTTAATATAACAAAAACCCCATTGCTGGGAAAACACCCAAATCTAGCTTTATTGGCAACAATCGTAGTTATGTCTGTTTTGAAGATTAATGACTACGACGTTTTAAAACAGAGACAAAGTCAGAACAATAGTGTGGTAAATTGTAAGTTTAGGAGGGCGCTTAGTTTTAGAAGATCTGACTTTCGTGTAGCCACTTCCTCCTGCCAGAAACGGAATCGGAGCTCTCACGGAGGCTTTTTGCAGCTCCCACACGACACTCTTGCAATATCAGTTTGTGAATCCCACTCCTCTTTGCAGTGTCACCTTGTAAATTCCTTCCTCTTGCTTTAAATGCATTTTACTGCTTTGCAAATGAAGAGACCACCATGTGCTTAGAACATACCATCTCATGCAACAGGTTCTTCCTTTTTTCTGACTCCCACTCAAACACTCACCCACTTACTCCTCTCCACTTGGCGACCAGAATAGAAGCAGCAAAGCGACATTGACGAGCCCACTGGGCCTGCAGGCTGACATTAGCCCACCCTGGGATGAGGCTGGTGGAGGACCACCCCAGCAGGCTGCGAAGCCCAGGGTGCCTTGGCCAATTTATGACACCTACAAGGGGAGATTGCATTGCAGACACTTTAGAAAGCAAGTGGCTGAGTCATAGACCTGCTCCATTGCTTCCTGCTTCCATTCAAGGGGTATTTTTGGTTGTTTATTATGCCAAAAGATTTCTTTGTTGCCATTATAATTGTGATTGCTATGCTTTAGCAATCATATTGTCATGTATACTACTTCTTCAGTGCCTCTTTTGGTCCCTTCTAGATAAAAAAACAAGATTTTCTCATTGATAGATGACATTGTATGAATTACTAAGATTTAAAAACATCTCATAAATACATAAATTGCATTTATATCTTAGTCAGTGTATACAGTACAAACTCCAAAATACACTGATCAAGTGTACATAAGCTTAATTTAACATACAGTTGTGAGTTATGAGTTACATTGCATTAAAGAAGACCTAAAGAGGACCATTGAATTAATAACTCAGGACTTGTATACAGGACAACCTCCATTAACAGTTTTAATGCTCAGTATTGCCCACTGATCAACTCTAAATAAGCTCATTACGATGACGTGTACAGTTTGAATGGAGCCTACTTGTCCTCCATTGTATTTATAAATTCACTTAATTCAAATTGGAAAATGCTCAGTTTTGCATTGTAATTAAAGTGTTAATAAGCTCATTTATGAGTTTTATTATGAGTTAGGCTATATAATACATTATGTATACAATTCTGCAGCAGTATTTCATAGTCTTGATTCACTCCTGTTGCTTCTATAACTCAGGTAATTTACTTTAAGGTCAGTGAGTTTTCATATTATCATAAAGTCATCCAAAAATCTTGCCAATCAGCATCAATGCACACAGCAGTCAAATACCTTTTATTATTATTATTATCCATTTTATTATTATTGACACCTGAAATTGATTAAATTGCAGTGAGCCTTCAAAAGTATAGGCAGTAATCAGAAGCACCCCCTCGGTCTGACTGCACAAAAGAAGTGAAATTAAGACCAGACCAGACTGTGGACGAGGCTTAATCCACAGCAGATTCCCCCCTCAGCTTGAATAAGACTTTGCAGCGTGGCTTTCCACTATGTCTGCTTGCTCTGGTAACAAGCCTCTTCTGTGACCGAGGGAGAAAAAAATCATAAGCAAGGCAAAGGTAAGGATAACCTCCCTCCCTTCCTCTTCAAAAAGAGGCATGCTGAGCTTCACTGGAGAGATGTGGGGGGTTAGGGGGCATTCAAGTCCCACTCCTTCTTACTCCTCAGTTTTTAACCATACTTTTCCACGACCGAGTGTGCACGCAAGGCAAGCCAAAACAGATAATGCGGAATGTCAGCCTAGAAACAGAAAATCACCTCTACCAAGACCAAGCTGTTCCAGAGCACTGGATTGCATTCCATAGCAACTCTGAGTGATTTATTACTACAAAAAAAAAACAAGTCTCCCAAAAAGACATCTAGCTACGCAGCTGGTTAATGCCAACTGGTTGTGACTTGTGATGAGTAATGACATCCCTTTGAGTCAGTAGCTTTGTTCTGCCGTGTCTAGATGATGGATCATTCTTTTAAAACCATTTTCAAGATGTGCAGATTATCCGTTTCATAATTATTATTTTTTAAAACGGAGCCGAGAACTATGAGAAGTAATTTTCCCCTCCGTAGGCTTGTTGTGTTATCACGTTCCCGCGGAGCACGAGTAGAAGCTGTAGATGTCCGCTTTTCACTGTGCTCATCAACAGTAGATCCAGGGTCCATACAAACCCAATTAAGAATCAATTTGAGCCAGTGTCAGACAGTCTGGCGCCTGGAGAGGGGTAAATGCTTTTAATATGAACATTTTATCGTTGTCTTCCATCGTCTTACAGTCTGGCATGTGTAAAGTATCTGTCATGAAGCCTTATGC